ATACAGGTACTTTTGTTGCTTTAGGTAAATTTGCCTGTAGGCAGGATAATTCGTGACTGGATATATTATATGAAGAACAGGATTTTGGGGTTGCAGTCAGGTTTTGAGGTCTGCGTTAAGAGAGGTCCATTGGCTGCTGCATCACAAGCCCCCAGGTATTCCATTTCCATGATTGGATGCAACAGTAATAGCTTGGTTGTCAACGGATTCCTGAATAATCATCAGTGCCTTTTTACCATCAATACTGGATCAACGAGGTCAGTAATAAAAGCCGACATTTCCAACAGAAGCAGTTTGAAGAAATTATCGGTTCTGGAAATAGCCACTGGAGATAGATTAACAGTCTATGGAGAAGCTGAAGTGAGACTGAGGCTTGGAAATTGCGAAATAGAAACTAAGGTATTAGTGGTTGACATCGTCGACGAGTTCATTCTGGGACTAGACATCATGCTCCCCTACGGATTTGTGGTGGATATAAGGAATAAACTGCTGAAAGTCGGAAATGAGGAAATTTTGCTCGACGTACCCTCGCAGCCTTTTGGCAGCGCCAAGGTGGTAATACTGGAAGATTCCAGAATCTCTTCCAACACCGAGAAATTTATTCAAGCGGAAATTGCTGGACCTAGCCGCTTGAGTACAGTATTGATAGAGCCATCCAATGGCTCTGAATCAGGAATTATCGTGGTCAGATCCCTGGTGAATGGTAACAATCAGACCATTCCAGTAAGAATAATCAACTCTAATAATAACAGGGTGACTCTCAAGAAAGGGCAAGTAATAGGCACCTGCGAACCGATCGTGAAAATCGCCAGAACCGAGAAAGAAGTACCTTCACAGCCTGCTCAACAACCCGCAAAGGAACTCATAGACTCAAGAAGACGTTAGGTTAGGTTAGGTCCAAAGTGAGTGGGTCTATTCGACCCTCCACCGCAACCCGCATTCAGGAAGACGTGGAGTCATCTGTCTGAAGAAGAACTATGCAAGGCCACCCGATTCGTCGAACAGGAGAACGATATGTTAGTGAAGGGCAAAATCATTCGTCGAACGGATTTAGTGAAACATCGCATCGATACTGGTGATTCCAAGCCCATACGTCAACTACCGAGACGTCTTCCCTTCGCAAAGCAAGACGAACCGGCATCCATTGTTAAGGACGTGTTGGAGGAAGGAATAATCGAGGAATCAAACAGCTCCTGGTCGTCATCTGTTGTGTTACTGACTAAGAAAGATGGATCGACGAGATTTTGCGTAGACTTCAGGAGTCTTAATGATATCACCAGAAAGGACAGTTACCCTCTCCCTAGAATAGATGACACCCTGAACATCTTGGCTGAATGCAGATGGGTCTCAACACTAGATCTGAAAAGCGGATATGGGCAGGTGGCCGTTCGCCCCGAGGATAAAGATAAGACTGCCTTCTCCACCGGCAATGGATTGTACCAGTTTAAGTTTATGCCGTTTGGGTTATGCAACGCAACATTTGAACGCTTGCTGGAGTTGATGCTGAGAGGACTTACCTGGAAAACATGCTTGGTCTGTCTTGATGACATTATAGTCACCGTAAAAAGTTTTGACGAATATCTGTCACACTTGAGGAGTGCTGCCTCTTCCAGGAAAAGGTGAATTTCTTGGGACACGTTGTGTCTTTAAAAGGAGTTGAAACAGATCCAGAGAATATCAAGGTAGTGCAAGAATGGCCAATACCGAAGAGCAAGCACGACGTGAGAAGCTTCCTTGGACTCTGTAGCTATTACCGGCGTTTCGTGAAGGACTTTGGAAAAGTCGCCAGATCGCTGCATAGCTTAGCTGAAAAGAGAATACCTTTCATTTGGTTTCCAGACTGCCAGCAAGCATTTGCTGGCCTGAAGAGACATTTGACCAGCACACCGATCCTGGCATACCCAAAGGAGGAGGGCTTGTTTATACTGGACACGGATGCATCCCAACATGGAATAAGAGCCGTACTTTCCCAGGTACAGGAGGAAGAAGAAGTCGGCATCAGCTATTTTAGTAAGTCCCTGGGAACGTCTGAAAAAAATTACTGCGTTACTAGAAAAGAACTCCTCGCAGTGGTCAAAGAAGTGGATCACTACCATTTCTTTTTATATGGCCGTAAATTTTTGATCCGGTTAGACCACTCAGCTGGCTCTTCAACTTCAGAATACCAGAAGGATAAATAGCAAGGTGGATTGAAAAGTTACCAACTTAAGACTTTGAAATTCAAAATCGGAAAGGAAAGAATCACGGAAACGCAGATAGCCTCTGAAGAAGACCATGCCTGACATCCGGATGCAAAGTTTGCCAACGCCAGGAGGACAAGGATACCCAATTACCAAAAGAAGAACTTCCCTCCAGACGTGATAAGGTAGCGGGCAGATACTACTTTATGGACAGCTCTAATAGGGAGGTAAACTCCCCTACCTCTCGCCGCTTTGGGTTCCCTCTGACCCGGAGGGTAGCAACCTGTAAGGGTCCCTTGTTCAGGGATACGGACAGACAATTTGAGAAATCACCTGACCATGGTGTGGTACGGTCGTTAAGAGCCTCTGAGGGTGACACTACCCTCCTAACGAGGCAAGACATCATCGTAGCGCAGAAGGAGGATCCCGTTTTGAAAACTGCGAGAATGGATTGCCAAAGGAGTGAGACCGGAATGGTAAAAGATTTCCAGGCACGACCAGCAGGAAAAGGGTTACTAGCTCCAGTGGGACTCCATGAGCATTCAAAATGACCTACTCACTTGGAAATGGGAAAGCCCGGATGGAAGAACCCATAAATTCCAGATGATCCTTACTAAGACGTGTATCCCGAGTATCCTCGAACAGCTTCACTATGGTCGCACTGGAGGGCATTTCGGAGTAAATAGAACTCTAGCGAGAGTGCGTGAGAGGTACTATTGGATCAATTGCCGTCGAAACGTGGAAAAGTGGTGTAAGCGCTGTGACCTATGCTCTTCGAGAAGGGGTCCAAAGACAAGGCAAAGAGGAAAGTTGAAGCAGTACCTTGGTGGGTGCCCTTTCGTGAGAATCGCAGTCGACATTTTGGGACCATTCCCTATGACCACATCCGGTAACAAGTATCTTATGGTTGTGACGGACTACTTTTCCAAATGGCCTGAAGTAGCCTTACCCAATCAAGAGGCTAAAACGGTGGCAGAAGCCCTGTTGCAGAACGTAATTGCCAGACACGAAGTACCCACGAACTACACTCGCATCAGGGCCGTAACTTCGAATCGGATTTATGGAAGGAAATGATGACTCTGTTGGGAATAAAGAAGACAAGAACAACTGCTCTTCACCCACAATCCGATGGAATGGTCGAGAGACATAATCGCACCATCAGCAATAACTACCTCTCGATGTTTGTCTCCGAAATCCAAAGAGAGTGGGATAAATTGGTTCCTCTTTTTCTGTTGGCATACAGGAGCTCCCAACATGACGTGGCATGTTATACATCATCCATGTTGTTAACTGGTAGGGAACTGAAGCTTCTGATAGATGTATTGTATGGCAGTCCTTTCGATGAATCTCAAGAGGTACCTCTTTCAGAGTATGTGAATGACCTGAAGGAGAGACCGGAAATTGTTCACGAATTTGTGAGCTTCAAGGAGGGCAATGAAGTGTGGCTCTACCAACCCCTACTGTGCAATCACTAAAATCTGTATCATATGAAATTTTTTATTAATAACTTTATATTCAGAATTAACCTTTGGCATAAATTTCTGTTTCGATCAAGATGAGAAATAATTAAAAATTAGTAGCACATGAAGCGTTATATGTCAAATTCCCTTTTTTATAAAAACATCTTGAAGTGGGGTTGTTTCTCAGATAATCATTATTATTAGAAAATGTTTCCTTAGTACAATATTTCGTCCGTAGTACAAAAGGTTCAAAAACTCCTCTTGGAAACATTCATTGGCAAAGTATTTGGACATGAGTTTAAAGGACTATTGAAGGAGTCAAAATATATAAGTGGTTACTTGGCATGATAATTTGTTTGTGTTGTACAGTTGGAAAGTGTCTTCATCATGCTTTTTTTATTGTGTTTTGGTTTTAAGTTATTGAATATTGAATAAAATATAAATTGTTGTGAAATTTTTCTGTTTCCATGCTGATCTATAAACTCTGTATGTTGCCTTTTTGTAAAATTATCAATTTCTCTCCACCTCAAACTTCTGAAAGCTCTACGTAACAAAATATTTATTGAACTTTAACTGAGTATTTTGAAGTATATAATTTTTTGTTCGAGACAGTTCTGCACTGCAAACAGGAAACTAGAAAAAAACAGTGCCCAAAAGAAAAAAATTATGATCAAATACTGGACAGTATACAATATGAATGTATTATTTGAATTTAACTGATTAACGGAAAAACAGATTTAAAACTGTCCTTGAAGAATAATCCAGAATAAAAAATGAGCATGACTACTTTCCATTCAACGACATCATCTATGGACTTCCCTGAACTACCTCAATTTTTTTTTCGTACAATCTAGATGGAGAAAAAATATATTCATAAAATAATATGTTATTGAAGATTCTACAATAAAAGCAAGGCATTCAGAAGTATCAGATTTAAGTTCTAGTCAAGGACCATATGAGAACATGATTGAAGACGCACATGCCATTAGTATTTGACATGTGATCTTTTTAGCCAATTACGGTGAAGAGTTGAGCATACAATAGCGTAGAGAAATAAGAAAGTCAAATATCGTTATTTTTGAAAAAAAAAGGTTTTATGGAGAAATTTTAGTTTATAAAATTCATTTTTTATGAAATATTGTATTCAAAAATGAAAATAAAACTTTCAATTTATTTTACTGTATCGTACAAACAATACAATAAGTATGTTTGTACGATTTCTCCCACCGGCCATTACTCAGTCCCGAGCTATACTTATCGAGAAATTCACATAAAACGTAATGTTGGTACTCTAAACAATATGGCGGGCGAGTCGGACGTACAGTCGAACACTTCTCTCAATAATTGCAATAAATGCAAACACTCTATCGTGAAACAAGTTTTAAAATGTGAAAAGTGTCACAACGTATATCACCCAGGTTGTGCAAAACAAAAAAAATGTGAAATTCATCAGCAACAAAGTGATAAACTGCTGTATGAGCACTGAAGTCTGTGATATGGAACATTTTTTTGATACCATGGATGACCAAGACTATGACAAGGTAGACTTTAATCTATTCAAATATATAATAAATCAGAAAGACGTCGTAATTTGTGAATTACGAGAACAAATAAAAATTTTGAATGATCATATAAATCTGTTAAAAGTGGTCAATACAGATTCACATCTTTCAACGCAAAAACCATCTGCCATTAACTCGGTAGTAGATCCAAAAAATAAGGCCGAAAGAAAATCATCCAAAAAAGCTGATACTACAGACAAAACGAAAATAGATAACAATAAACAAACAGTTATTAGTCATCAACATGTGAGTGATGGAATAAACCAGGTCGAAAATACATTGAAATTAAGAAAATATATTGACATAAATTCCGATAAGTCGGATTGAAATGTCACACCTACACCGTCGGGATCATCTAACACCACCACGGAAAACCAGCAAGATGGGCAGTGGAAGGAAGCGGTCGGGAGAAAGCGAAGACGACAAATGGTTGTCGGAAGTTATGATTGAGATTCTCGTGTAAAAGTGTCCCCAAACTGACACATCTACATGTTTACAGAATTGATCTGCAGACCTCGCCTCATGATTTAACGGAACTGTTGAAAATGCACTTTTCTGAAGTAAAATGTGAAAGTATTACTCCCAAATACCCTAGTATTTACAATTCCTTTAAAATTTAAATTTTTGAACATAATTTTAGAAAGGCTGTGGATCCTAAGATTTGATCCCTTGGGGCATGTGTACAACGTTTTTTCGAGTTTGTGAAAAAGCAATCAACCAAAACATAAACTGTAATTCTTTTTCATCGAATCTGTTAGTTCTCAATATTGCTAGCATTAATCCTTACAAGATAAACGAACTTCATTGCGACACATATTTTTACAAAAAATTAAACTTTTTATGTTTGACTGAGATAAATGAAAAACCAGATTCTGTAAACAGCATATGTATACCAGGCTTCACTCTAGCGAGCTCTTTCTGTAGAACATACCACCAAAAAGGTGGCGTGGTCATCTGGGTTAGAGATTCTCTAATTTTCAAAGATTTATATCTAGCTAACCATGTGGCATCTCTTGGAGAGGCAATAACCAAAAATGTATTTTAATAAATTGTTATAGGTCTCCATGTGGGAATCTTAAAATTTTTTGTGACGTACTGACAGAAATATTGGAGTTTATGTTTAAACTTAATATTCGCTTTATACTTGTGGGCGATTTCAATTGTGACGCATACAGTTACTCAAAAGATTTTGTTAAATTGAACAATAGGCTGTCATGTTTCAACTTTATACACAAAGTGAATTGGCCTACTCGGCTGCAAGGAAATAGCCTTTCCACATTAGATAATATTTTCATTAATTTCCATAGAAATGGAGTCACTGCTGTTTTAGATAATAATCTGACCACAGATATATTTTCTATGACATTTCGGAAACCACCCAAAACACGCCAGACACTTCCTTCACGTTTCATACACGAATATATAATGATGAATCTCACAAGAATTTCGAAACTGCACTCCGTAATGAAAACTGGAGTGAACTTTATCAAATTAATAATATTGACCATGCATATGATATTTTCATAGGAATATTTTTCTATTATTTTGACATTAGTTATGCATTACGACGGGTGTGTAGTAGACCTAACGTTGAAAAATGGGTGGACATGGATGTCAAAATATCTAGTTGTAAGTTGAAGGATTTTTATTTATTGAAAAAAAAAAGACCCGGTGCTGGCTGAGTTTTACAGAGAAGCACGAAAACGACACTCACGGCTTTTAGAATCTAAAAAGGAACAATACTATCAAAATAATATTCTCAACTCTGATGATCCGGGTAAAACGCCTGGAAAGTAATATCCGAAATGAACAATAAAAACAAAATAGGACACAAAAATATCAATGTGTTTCACAATGATATAAAAGTGGAAAACCTAGTTATTGTATCAGATCTGTTTAATAACTTTTTTTTTAAATGTCCCGCTAGAACTTAAAGAAAAGATCACCAAGTCAAATACTGCAGTAGACAATACCCAAGAAATTCTTATACCTTCTCTATTTCTCAGGCCGTTTTCACCTAAGGAATTATTTAATCTGCTCAGTGATAGGCTGAAAAATAAAAAATCCGCAGGTCCAGATGAAATACCCACTTTCGTTTCAAAAAAAGTTATGAATGTTATAATAGAACCTTTGTGACATTTTTATTAAATCTTTCATTCGAAACAGGAAAATTCCCCACAACCCTCAAGAAAGGAAAAGTCATTCCTATTTATAAAAAACACTACCGATTACATGGAAAATTATAGACCTATAACGATTTGCAGTAGTTTCTCGAAAGTCGAATATGGATTTTTGGACAGGCTGATGATTTTTATAAATTAGCATAATATTTTGACAAATAGCCAGCACGGGTTCCGACCTGGTAAATCAACATTTTCAATATAAGTTGATTTTAGCATACATTCAAAGGATTTATAGTTGAAAAATGTTGAATTTCATTTAGGGGATAGAAAATGAATAAAAACTACCCCAAAAATCCCTTTTTTGAATATATCTCGAAAGCATAAAAATATATGAAAAAAAGGTCGAAACAAAGAATGTAGGCAAAAAAAATTTCTATAAAATCGTTTCTGATCACTTTTGATGTATTTGCAATAGAAACCGAGATATTTGCAATAATCAATTGATACTTATAGTTCAGACGGGCTGCAGTAGAGCGGATATATCTCTCCAGCACTACGAAATAGATTAAGTGTTGTCGGTGTTTCCCAGGTGCACATATGAATGAATGCGAGTTATATTTATTTTCATTCCTGAAAGTGTTCTAAGCTCAACTGGAATTGAAGTAAAGCAAGCTGAAGATAATGATTTATTTATTGTCAATACCGCGATATACTTGAAGAATAACCATGGAAATCCAGTTGCAGTTGTTGGCAACGACGTCGATTTATTGGTTTTATTGATTGGTCTCACAACAACAGACGATAATTTTTTTTTATAAACTAACTAGTTCGAAAAAATCTACCCACAAATTATACTCCACTTCTGAAAATAGTAATTTCAAACAATTCATGTTATTTGCTCACGCTTTCGTAGGTTGTGACACAACCACCGCCCTATTTGGGAAAGGTAAGAAAAAAATTGTCTATACGTACAATATGTAGAAAATCAACAGAGGCAGAAGTGGCTGATTATTAATGATATTTTGAAAAACGCTGAATCTCATGAGGATTCTGAAGAAGAATGGGTCCTTGATTATAACGATTTTTAGTACTAAACATTCTTCTTCACCTAAAGCATATTAAAAAGTAAAATTGAGGCATTTGGTTAAGAATTATTGAAATTTTTGGCTTTCTGCTACTCCGTCTTGATACAAAAAAATGTGGGGAAGAACCATAGAAGCAATCAATTTCAAAAAATTAACTCCATACAAAGACGAGTAGATCCAAAAAATATAATTCTCTGTAATTTAATTATTGACGTTTTTCGTTCTTTTTGTGTAAGAAAAATCCGTATTTTTTTACACAAAAACCATGTGTTTGTTTGAAGGTGATTGACAATGTTTCATGATGATGATGCTTGATGATGGGTTTCCATATGTTGCGTATCACTACGCTAGCCTGGCTGAATACGTTGTTGGACAACATGTATGCGGCTTCCTTGAATTTTCTCCTAAACCAATGTTCCTCTCTGTGTATGATCTCAGCTTGGGACCACTCGATGTTATGTTGATGGGTCCAAACATGGTCTGCTATTCTTGATTTGCTGAGGTATACAGATGTTTCCCACTTAGTGTCGGTCCTCTTCACCAAAACGTGTAAGGATGGCAATTCGTTGTGGATTTCCATCTCCATTGTGAAATTGATGGAAGGTCTCACGCTGTTGATGTATTTCAGGAAGGCGTAGTTGATCTTCCTGTGTGACTTCAATTGACTCTAGTAGTTCGACAAAATGCCTTGAATTCTTTACAAAAGAGAATGTTTTTCCTTGTAATGGTTTTATTATGGGAAGTAAAAATCTAGAAAAGTTTTGAGTAGCCGAATCTCTGGAGCTGATGGTCGGTCTAGACTAGAGTCAATTGAAGTCACACAGGAAGATCAACTAATTAGTTTCGACGTGGAAAGCCTTTACACCAACGTTCCTGTCGAAAAAGCACTCCAAATCATACAGAGAAAGCTATCCGAAGACGGGAACCTGAAAGAGAGAACGAATCTACCTAGAGAAGTAATTATAGAATTACTAGGATGCTGTGCACGAAACTGTTATTTCCAACTGAAGGACGAATTCTTTACACAAGATGAGGGGCTGCCAATGGGATCGCCACTTTCATCAGTCATAGCCAACATATATATGGAGTGGTTTGAAACTCTGGCCATTGAAGCAGCCTACAAGAAACCTCGAGTCTGGTTGAGATATGTTGACGACACCTTCATTATATGGAACCATGGAAATACTGACCTAGACGCCTTTCTGAAACACATCAACAGCGTGAGACCTTCCATCACTTTCACAATGGAGAAGAAAATCCATAACGAATTGCTATTTTTAAACGTTTTGGTGAAGAGGACCGACACTAAGTGGGAAACATCTGTATACCGAAAACACACTCACACGGGACAGTATCTGAACCACGAATTCAACCACCATCAATCGACTAAAAGAGGAATCATCAAGACACTATTAGACCGTGCTTTCGGGCTCTGTAATACGATGGAAGGTCTCGAGAAGGACATTTTCAAACTTAAACAATAAACTATTGTTTAAGCAGCCTCACGAAAAACATAGAAATTTTCATTTCTCTTTTCATCATGATCTCCTACCACATAGTGACGGCTACATCCATCAATTTATTATCAAAAATGATCTTCAACGGAATGGCTACTCCAAAGGGATGGTAGAAAAAACTTTGGCTAAAAGACAGCAGGAGCCTCGCAATGAAGAGAAGCCGTCACAACCAGTGCTTGCACTACCCTACATCAGATCCGGTAACACTATCCGTAGCAGCCCTACGAAAACCAGGCCACCAAACGCGGACTGCGATTCCAAGAATTGCATTTACCGGATACCCTGTGAATGCGGAAAATCCTATATTGGTGAAACTAAGAGGCCATTGAATGTTCGCATTGCCGAGCACAAGAATCACACACAGCGAGGGGAAACCAGCAAATCAGGAATAGCAGACCATGTTTGAACCCATCAACACAACATCGAGTGGTCCCAAGCTGAGATCATACACAGAGAGGAACATTGGTTAAGGAGAAAATTCAAGGAAGCCGCATACATGTTGTCCAACAACGTATTCAGCCAAGCTAGCCTAGAGTTACGCAACATATGGAAACCCATCATCAAGCGAAAAATGGCCAACTTCCGCCAAACGGTTATCTCCCACTGAATTAGTGAAGCGGAAAAAATGGAAAGAGGGGATAAATGAAAGTACTCGAACGACTCATAAATAGTCATCTCTCTGAGGAATCAGTCCAGTCATCACCCGAAGACGATTATAGATACTAACAATCGAAACTTCGTGAACTAACTTGGCTTGGAATCTCTTAACTTTTTATTTTCATTTTTATTTCTTTGTTTTTATTTTTTTATTTTTTGTTCAATTGTTCTATTTTCAGGAAAGAAAGTTTTTGGCTTTCTACTACTCCATCTGATACAAAAAAAAGGGGATGAGAGAATCTTCCAAAGAAAGGAAGGAAGCAATCAATTTGAAACTCTATACATGAATGTGTAGATCATGCAAAGAAGTAACTTTCAGACACAAACTGAAAGAAAGTCCTCCTGAAACAGCTACTTTCATATAATGAGTTCTATGACAATCTCATAAACCATATAGAACAAGGAGAGGACCCAATGGGCATTTTCTGTGACCTGAGTCGAGCTTTCGACTGTGTGGACCACGATATTCTTTTATCAAAGTTGTATAACTATGGTATTAGAGGTGTTTGTCTGGAATGGTTAGAATCATTTATTAGATGTCGTTCTCAGTATGTGAGTCTGAAACATCATGAAAATAATATAATTCATAATGTTACATCTGCCTATACCGATATTACTATAGGTGTTCCACAAGGATCTATTTTGGGCCCAGTTCTTTTTATTTTGTACATAAATGAAATCTCAAATTCCTTTCCGGATATTGAGATGACTATTTATGCAGACGACACTTCTCTACTGATTTCCAACAAAAATCAAATAGAACTAAAAGAAATCTGTGAAACTGCTCTATGCCAACTAACTTCTTGGTTCAATCAAATCACTCTTTATTTTAATGCAGACAAAACTAACCTTGTGAAATTCCATAGTCATCAGAGGGAATTGGTAAATAAAGATATAATTTCAAATAACACACCTCTGCCTATAAATAACAGCTGTAAATTCTTAGGACTATTCGTTGACTCACATTTAGATTGGAAAGAACATTGCAAGGTCCTGATTTCCAAACTTTCATCTCTCCACTATATGTTCAGAAATCTCAAAGTTGTTTTGACACAGCAACAATTATACAACACACGCCGTAAGGATGATTTACGATTACCACTCTCTAAAAGCAATGTTTCCTATAAAGCTCCAGCTAGAATCGGCGGAAAGATTTTCAACAACTTACCTTCCTCCATCAAAAGCTTAAAACATGAACATACTTAAAAAAAACTCAAAGAATACCTGGTTGAGAAATGTCTATACTCTTTAAATGAATACTTTTAACTTAATTTTTATTTAATGTGAATCTGTATTTTTATTAAGTCAATATTCTGTGTATTATGTATCCTATGTATATGTATATGTGAACATGTCTTTGTAGTGTTGTATAATCCTTAATGTAATGTTATTTTCCTTTTGTACATTTCTTCATTCAAATCTCGACCGTACTACCATGCGGTTGTAACCATTACTCTTTTTTCTTATACGACTGTATGTTGTCTTGAAGAAATAAAGTGATTTGATTTCTCAATTTTTAGATTACTCCTTATGTTTTTCTCATCATTTACTCTAATACTTTATTTCAATATAAACAAATGTGTTTAGTTTTTTTTACTTGAAGATGTGATGATATTTTATATCAACCAAACATTACTTAACTAATCAAAATGGAAAGAAGTTGATTCCAAATGCATTTCAGTTGTTTACAGTCTCCCAGCAGAGCTGTGGATTGTGTGTTATGCCCCAATAAAGGTGGAGCCTTCAAACAAACAGACCGAAGTACATGGGCGCATGTTGTATGTGCTCTGTGGATTCCTGAAGTTCGATTTGCTAATACTGTCTTTTTAGAACCAATTGGTATGTGTTTCTACCATTAACAAGTTGAAATCCTTATAATTAATATTGTTTACTAGATTCCATTGAGACGATCCCAGCAGCCCGTTGGAAACTAACATGCTATGTTTGTAAACAAAAGGGTGTAGGGGCCTGCATTCAATGCCACAAAAGCAGTTGTTATTCTGCTTTCCATGTTACTTGTGCTCAACAAGCTGGATTATACATGAACATGGATACAGTTAAAGGAGGAGGAGATTCTCAGCCTGTTTTAGTCCAAAAAATTGCCTACTGCGATACCCACGCTCCTGCAGATAATGGTAATTATAGACAGTGTATTACAGTTTGGATGTTTGAGACATAGTGTTACCGTTCATATCGTGTTGGCCCAAGAGACACGTATATTTATGTAATATCTATTAATATTAGTTATTATTCAGTCAATAAGTTTGTTTTTAGTATTCAAGTATTTCTATTGGACGTCCATATAAAACCAATGCTGCTTTTTCTTTTTTTTTATTGTCTTATGTAAAAATGAGATTCTTCCTAAATTTTCACTTTGTCATCTCAAATTCACCTCTGAATTCGTTTCAAATTAGTTATTTATACATGGGCTTGCCTTCATAATTCAATTTTGAACTGACAGGGAAATATTTATGTTAATTTTGGTAGATATTAAAGTCAATTTTACAACAAATGTTTATTAATTCCTTGCACTTATGATTCTGTATTGAGATATATCATTCAATGCTTATTTGAGGTTATGGTGCATTTTCAAATCAACTAACGTGCTATACTTCACGCCTAATTTATTAATATTAATAGATGTTTGATAAATCCTCAAATCCAGATGTTGGATAATGAAAAATTGTATATATATGAAATAAGCTGTGAGTATTGTGACAAAAAATATGTTAGTCAGACTGGAGGACTATTAAAACTTGTTTTGAAGAACACGCAGCATATATCCGATTTCAAAGACTAGAAAAATCTAGAATCGCTCAACACGCCTTGGAGAATGGCCAGAAAATAAATGAAAACTGATCTGTACATGACGCTAGATTTTGGGATGCTTTCGAAAGTCTGGAAATAGCAGAGTGTGGCATAAGAACTATGAACCATGACGAAGGTCTCATTCCAAACAAGCCATTGTATTCCTTTTTATGAATAACTCTTTTTTTTCTGATTGATTCGGCCGTTACTTGATGAAGATCCATAGTAATTTCATAAACTACATCTTACGATTTGATCTCCACAAACAAAAAGTTTAATTCGTTCTCAATTTTCTGTCTACTCGTAGATGGCAGATACACTTAGGTTAGGTTAGGTCAGGTCAGGTTAGGTCCAAAGTGAGTGGGCCTATTTGACCCTTCACCGCAACCCGCAAGGGTTTATTGTGGCTCACTTCTATTCACACTCGACCAAATAAATCCAGCTTCTTAACGAAGCCGATTAGTTTGTATAATGAGTGGTCTTTCAGGTCATATGGTAAGAGTACGGCTCTGCCAGAAGTCCAAAAGGTTTTGAACTACAATTGCTGTGCTCAAACACCAGAATGGCAGCAGCCTTCAGGAGATAAAGTGTGTTTAAGAGCAGTTGTTGCTTTGGATTTATTCTACGTCAATTCTATCTTTGATATTTTTTCGCACTATTTTTTATTGAGATATTTCTTCAAAATACTACTGGAGTTCTATCCCAACAGCAAACCGTTATTTTTAACACCTTGACAAGTGTTTCAATCACCAAGTGATCATCTTCAAGAGAATGATTAAACTACTGTTTAATCTTCCTCTTGAAGAACACTTGTCGAGGTGTTAAAAATAACGGTTTGGTGTTGGGATAGATCTAGTAATATTCATTTCTACACCAAAGGTTCCAAACAGTGCATCACAAAATACTACTACTGCATTTATTTTGTAATTTTCAGGGGATTCAAAGAAAGATGATTCTAGAAAAAAAATGATTCAGGCTCGTAAGATGCTAGCAAAAAAACGAACTTCGGCCCCTATTATCCTCATTCCTACCATTCCTCCTGAACGTATTCAGGAAATTGGTTCATTAGTAACCATTACAAAAAAATCTCAATTCATCCAACGGCTTATAGCTTATTGGACATTAAAGAGGCAATTCCGGAATGGAGTTCCGCTCCTTCGAAGACTACAGAGTGCACAAGGGGGTCTTAAGGATTCAAATACCAGTAACGTGGATACCATAGAACTTTGTCGCCAGCTCAAATACTGGCAGTGTCTGAGACAGGATTTGGAAAGGGCCAGACTGCTTTGTGAGTTGGTGAGAAAAAGGGAGAAAATTAAATTAGAATATACAAGAGTTTCAGAGAAGTGTCTCAGGATAAAACTGAAACCCCTAGAAGCTAGTTTGAGAAATGTTTTGGATTTAATACAGGCTAAAGACACCAATGAAATATTCACTGAACCAGTAGACCTTGAAGAGGTAGTTTTGATAAATACATTTTTTCTTTCCAATAAATGTGTAACAATTTCAAAAACATGTTTTACAGGTACCAGACTACACCACTGTAGTTACGGACCCGATGGACCTCAGTACAATGAAAAAGAAACTGGATGAAGGAAAATATCCAGATTTGATAACATTGGAAAAAGATTTTGACCTTATGATAGCGAATTGTCTAGCCTATAACAATAGAGATACAGTATTTTACAGGTATAATTTGGAAGTGATCAAATACTGTTTTTCTTATACTTATCCAATTATTTTTTCCAGAGCTGCTATTAAAATGCGAGATCAATGTGGTGTCATCTTCAGACAGGCTAAGAAGGAACTGGAAGCTGCAGGATTGTTAAACAATAATAAGGACTGTCTCAAGATGAATTCTGGATCTGGACATGTCGAAGAATCCATGGCATCTGAAATTGACAAAGAATTGGAAAATCTACAGGTAAACAATAAGGTATTGAAAAATAAGTAATAGTATAATTAAAAATAATATATTTTTCTAGGGTAAATCAGGGTCTGAAGTTTTGGCGAAGCTTGAAGACTTATTAGTTAAAAGTCAAACGTTAAAGCATGGGTTGGCAAGAGGTAAAAGGGTGAAAATAGTGCGAAGTGAAATCAATAGGGTGAAAAAAAAATTAGCAGCTCAGACAGATACTGATCTTACATCACAGTCTGATGTAGATGTGCACATAGAAAATGAAAATGCTGACATAAGAAACAGTTCTGCAACTTTTGGTGAGTAAAAAATTTTGCAAAATGTTAAATGTATGGCACCTAGAACCTATTCTATATCGTAATTCAATCATATCAACAGATAGAATATTGCTAATTAAAATATATTTTCAATACAGAAACAAAAAGTGTATTTATTACATATTTTTTTAGTATTATCAAATTAATATTTCTGGTGTTTTTTTTCCAACACCAAACCGTTATTTTTACACCTTGACATGTGTTTCGATCACCAAGTGATCATCTTCAAGAGGAAGATCAAAACAGTTTTGATCTTCCTCTTGAAGATCACTTGGTGATCGAAACACGTGTCGAGGTATAAATAACATTTTGGTGTTGGGAAAAAACTATTCATTCAGTAATATTCATTACTACATCAAAGGTTCCAAACAGTGCATCACAAATTATCAAATAAAGTTGTGAAATTTTTGTATCGTAATATCATGGTTTTCTCGAAGAGCTCTGAAAAATTGATAAAGTTTTATAATAGCATTATGGGAATAATCACACATTCAACAATCACCAATTTCCAAAAATTATGAAATCTCTGGATGTCACGTAATAGCCACATTCCCTTAAAATTTCTGTTTGGATAGTTTGGGATGCTCACCAGTTAATATTATTTATTAGACCAGACACTGATTTTCCTTTTCAATGTCAAAACATAACAGGCACCTAAATACTTATTTATTAAAATATGTTATGATTTTGAACTTCAACCCAATCAGATCAAGAAATGACTTTTGTATTCCTCTAGTAAGAACAAAAACCAAAATTCTGACTTTGTTAAAGGAGTGAAGACTTTCTTTGGCTTTTGCATCCATTTAGGCGCATTAAGCCACACAGATCATGGGATTACAACTTTGTCTGGTATATACCATGTTGTAATCCTTCATGTTCTGCTGGCGATGGCGGTGCCATTTTCCACAAAAAAGGTTAACTCATTATACTCATTTGAATGAACATAAACAAAACTAAAATTGTAGTGCTACATTTTATGAGGTGGAGAGGAAGACGTTGGAGCAGAGGAAGTATTTTTTTCATATTCTTTGTCTTGATGTCTTGTATATATATTTCATAATCACGTTTGAAGCTTGGCATAACTTCTTCTTTTCTAGTTTTCCAGTATCCTTATTTATTTTTGTATATCCGTTCAATATTTTCAGTATGTTCATCACTAGGGGTTCGTGGTCGATCCTGTTTATTATAAATTTCGAAGATAGTCATTGTCATCTATATTTCTGCTGTTTCTGCCAGTATAGAATTAATTGGTGTTGATTTCAGTACCAGTTATCATTCTTAGCCCCTGGTTAAATAAATATCTTATTTAATTTGTCTAGATTTTTTGTTGGTGCATGGTCTGCATAGTATGCTTCCAAATTCTAGATGTGATTTAACAACTCTGTTTAATGTCATGAGCATACTTTTAGGATCTGCACCCCACCACGTCTTACAAAAACTTTTGAGTAGATGAACAAGGCGGATTCTGGCTCAAACGGGAGTGGGGGAAACGTCATCGACGCAGAATGGAATGAATATCGGAGTGATTCAAGCGTGGACCCCCTTGCCCTCGGCCCCCCCTTAGTACTCCACATCACCGCTCAGGCCTTCTTGGTACTCCACCTAACCCCTCGCCCCCCTTGTCACGTTCCAGTCACGTGATTTTAATTAAAAAAGTTTATAGTTATGAGATTCGAACCTTGATCGTCCGCGCCGTAGACATTGTCCTTAGCCTCTACACCATCGTAAGATATTGAAGTTAACTGCGAATGTTGGGTATTTATAGCGTTAGTTTTGTCGGGACCGAAATTGACTCATTCATTATACTTGACAGCATTTTTATTTTCATTTCCATAGAATGTAATCGTCATTATCATATTGAAAATAGGAAAATATACTTAGATTTGGGAAATAATTAATATTTCATGTAAAGATGTGTATGTGTGTGTAAGAGCGAGAGGCGCGTGTGACGTAATCGATGCAAAGAGAGATGGAGATCGAGGTTTTACCGGTTGCTAGTGCAAGCAGGTGTTGCCAGTTGTACAATAAATCAATGTTTATGGAGTAATGTAGCGTTGCCGGTTTGAAAATTAAGTTATAGAACACACAGTAACATCTATGAGTCACTAGCTGAACTATCTATTGGTTGAAGAAGGACACTGTAAACACTAGACTCATAACACTGCATCTGTCAAATGTTAATACATGCCAGCATGGCAGGTTCGGCGTTGCCAGTTGTACAATAAATCATTGTTTATGGGGCAATGTAGCGTTGCCGGTTTTGGAATTAATCGTGAACTACTCGACGAAAATTGGAAGCGCGAAAATGATATATTTTATAATTATGAATCAGATTTTGAAAAATATGACAACTTAACCTGCGATCCGTCATTGTATACGGGGTGTCTCAAAATACATCATTGAAAACAAACATGACGTCGAAGTGTACAGGGTGCGTCAAAATATACCATTTAAGAAAAAACATGTCAGTTTAACAGAAGTCTAGCGTTCCAACATGTCGGAAGTCTCGTATCTTTGTTAACCAAGTTAGAATCATCAGGAGAAAGAGGAGATTCAAAAGTGCCGAGAGGTTGAGCGTTGTGGACTCAACGTGAGGGCAATGGGAGAGCGAAGTATTCGACAATGAAATTTCAAAATACGTTGTTTTGCATAAGTTTCGAAGGAAAACTATCGTCGTTGGTAAACAAAAATTAGTATTATAATGGCATTCAGAGTATACAGACGTAAAGTAGAGGAATTTGAGAGACGTGTCCTACATTTACGTCAAGATATTCAATTATATGAGGAAAAGAAAATGGTTCTCAAGCAGTTGAATAATTTACACATTCAAGACAAAGTGTTCCAGCCTCAGAGTGTAGAATATGTCGTCAACGATGCTGAAAAACAAATTTTTGTACTTCCGACTACAATCATTTCTGTTCAATATGTAAACGTACCGAATATGGGTGAAATTCCAAGGAAATATGCGTGAAGGCTAGTGTAAACAATGGAAATCGATTCGTTCGACATCAGTCAATGAGGGTATTTGCGCAGGCGCAATTCCAAAGAATACACCATTCAAATGTGAATTGAAAAATATATTTCAAGATCTTCGTCATTAAAAAAAAACTGTTGAATTTGTTCCAGAACACACAACGAGGCAAGAGGAAAAGAAGTCACAAATGTAATTTGACGTTTATAGAGATATCATAGAATCTACGATGTCAGTATGTATTCTAATTAGACTTGTACAACAATTATGAATTTTAATAAAAAAATGAATATTTTGATTGAAACAGTAAATTTTTTGTTTTATTTCAAGTTGGTAAAAATATATAATATAGGTATGCAGCATTATCGCTATCACTATTGATAAAGCCAGACACGTGGCTCAAAGTGACGAAACAAAGGCTCTTTGTTTGATTGCATAATATGTCATCACCTATTTTCCTACTCTTAGCCAAGGTGACATTGATCACTGTCAGTGCCGAATCAGCACCCAGAGATATGCAGTTCTCAAAGCGACGGAACAAAGGCTCTTTGTTTGGTTTTGAAATATGTCATCACTTATTTTCCTATAAATACCTCCTGCGAGGCAAAATGATGAGTTAGTTGTATCAGTGATACTAGTGACAAGTGCAACGATTTTATCTGAAAGTAAGTGTTTTTCATGTTCACTTTATGAATTTTTATTGCAAGATTTTTTATACGTTTTTGACTTTTTCACAAAAGAATTTATTCAAATTTAATTTAATTCAAAGGTCGTGAGAGTTGTTGTTGAATTATCATTAATTTTCCAAAATTTGTCTCAAATTAATATACTTGAGTGTTTTTCTATACATAGTTTTTGAGGATTAACGTTTTTTTCAATTATTTTGTAATACAAAACGGTTCAGAGGTATTTACGTATTCCTCAAGCCAACCCTGGACTACTATTTTTATCCTACATACATCAGAAGATAAGAAATAACAATTACTGATATTTCTCAATCTTTAATAATGAATAAAAGATAAGAACCGGTAATTGCTGACATCCAATTTTCTCGAATACTATCTCTTACAGTAATGATTGTACGACACAATTTGTTTTGATGTTTTATTAGATGGCAGCCTCAGAACCGGAAAACGTGATTATGAATTTTACTCGAGAATACTCCAAGCTGAATAAGATTTTTTCTCGTATTTTATCTAGTTGCCTTTGACAATGCCATATCTTGTCTATACATTTGTGAACAAAATATCGGTGAGTCATGTCAATAAATAAAATCCAAATGATTGATTTTCCAAAAATCAAGTCGGTAATTGATAATTACCTTTTAGTCATTAGAGATAATTATTCAGAGTACATTGCCAAACAAGCTATACAATTTATTAATAAATATATAAGGAAATGCGTTTTAGCTATGAAAAAAATTAAATTTTCGGTTGGAGAAAAAAAAATCATTACAAAAATTGGGGAATTGAAACGTTTCAAAGTGATTGTCAAAATGATGAATAATAAACATACAGGCTCGGGTTTGAAGCGACGAAGCTCCAGGGTAAAGTGGCAAACTGTTAACAATATTTTCAATCGTAGAGTAACAACGGGGGTAATCATCAATTTACCTCATAAAGATCCTAAAAAGTTTCTAGGCGATTCAAACGTGAGATTTCCAAAATTTTGAAACAAATGTTATGTCTCAAAGTTAATTTTACATATTCAGGGGATTTTATTAAGAAATCGAATGATGGGGAAATTATTGATCGTAAATATCTCAGTACACCGAATAAAGTTATCGATTCAGGTTCGGACTTGACTGCTTGGTACAATGAAAATGTGGTGGATGTTATATTGAATAAATTAGGCGAATTTGAAGAACAATTGTCGGGGTGGGCTTTGAGTAAAATTCTTTTGTTGGAAGTAGCAATTAATAAATATGTGATTGGTAACGGTTCTTCTTTCATTCCACTGCCGCAAGAAATCGCAATGAAAAGGGCATGCATTAATGTACAAAACGATGGCGAAATGTGCTTCTTTTGGAGTATTATTAGCGCCTTGTATCCT